CCCGGGCGCTCCGGGCCCAGGCTGCTGTGCGGGATGCGGGGCACGAACCCAGCAGTCTCATAGTGCTGGGCCAGGTGCGGCCTCTTCCTTACATCCCACCTGGAATGCAGACTTAAATCGAAAGGCTTAAACAGAAGTGAGATAACGTGTTGAAAAGGACGAGGTAATCCATTATGTATTCCCTAAATAGGGAAAAAAAAAAAAAAAAAAAGCCTTTTTCAGTTTCAAAATTACTGCAGAGGCCTGGGGGACAGGAAGCTCAAGATGAGTGAACAGTGTGCTGCTGCGGCCAAGGTGGCCAACAGGTTGCTGGGTTGCATCAACAAGGGCATCACCAACAGGGATGTAGAAGTCATTATCCCACTCTACTCAGCATTTGTCAGGTCACACCTGGAATACTGGGTACAGTTTTGGTCCCCACTATACAAAAAAGATGTGGACAGGCTGGTGGGGGTCAAGAGAAGGGCCACCAAGATGATCGAAGGACTGGGAAGCCTGCCATATTGATACCCTAAGGGTCAAAAAGACCCCAAATGTAAAATGGCTTACATGCATAAGATTTAGGCCTTATTGTCTAGCTTGCTGTTACTTTGCTAAAATTAGTATTGTCTAGTTTGCTGTTGCTTTGTTATTAGCTTTGTCTAGCTTGCGGTTGCTTTGTTAAAGTCAGTAGTGTCTAGCTTGGATTTTTTGTTCTTCTTAAAGTCTGTAGTATAGTTACTTAGTGAATTTAGAACCCTTTTCAAGGACGGGAAGAATCGGGAGGGGATGAAGCAAAAAGATAATAACGGTTTGCCAAGGTTGCCAGACTAGAAGGAATGAGAACTAATTGATGTAGAAAGATTTGTGGCTCCTTACAAAGGACAGTTTTTTGATAAGAACCAGGTGTTTACCTCAAGAGCTGGTCTACACCAACCCTGCAGTTTGGGCAAGAGCCAAGGAGCAACTGAGTCTGCGCAAGAACAAGGGGTTACTAGCGGTGATGAAGAGGAGCCATCGGCCTTCATCCCCACGACCCCCGACGACCACCACCAGGAGGCACTGAGCAGGCGCAGTGGGGAGGGTCTTATGGAAATGACCTCCTGAAGCTAATTTTAATACAAAGCGGAGACAGGTTATGCATATGTATAGGCATATCAGAAAAATTCATACATATGTAATACTTTGCTACATATAAACGGACAAGTTGCCGCTTGATGGTATGCACGTTAGGTGGAGCGATCCCCCGTGCATCTGGCGCCGTGAATAAAGAATGCCTGCCTTCTAACACTACATTGGTGTTATGAGGTTCATTCTTCCCGATTTCGGTGACAATATGAGGAAAGGCTGAGAGAACTGGATTTGTTCAGCCTTGAGAAAAGGAGGCTCAGAGGTGATCTCATCACCATCTACCAGTATTTAAAGGGTGGCTACTGAGAAGATGGAGACTCCCTTTTCACAAGGAGTCACACGGAAAAGACAAGGGGTAATAGGTACAAGTTAATCCTGAGAAGATTCCAATTGGACATGAGAGGAAAATTTCACACTATGAGAGCAGACAACCATTGGAATAATCTCCCCAGGGGAGTGGTTGACTCTGCCACACTGGACACTTTTAAGATTCGCCTGGATAGGGTGCTGGGCCATCTTGTTTAGACTGCTCTTGCCCAGAAAAGTTGGACCGGATGACCCTTGAGGTCTCTTCCAAGCTGGGATTCTACGATTCTGTGATTGAATCTTCTAAATAATTTGGCAGCCAGTGATCAGCAAGGACAGGAGGAAGACACTGGACATGAAGAATAAATGATGCTCTCTCTGCTGCATGTTTTGCAGCTTTCTCAAAGGCAGAAAAGCAGCTTAAGCTCAGCTCTGATATATTTTGTTTAAAAATCTTTGATGGTGTTTTATAAATAAGTAACAGATGGCTATATATTTGAATAGTTAAGAAGCCTTTATTACTCAGTCAGTCTAGAGAAGTAAAAGCTGAACGGAGAAGAGAGATTCTGTGTAGTAAACCAGGTAATAATTTTGGCCATTGCTAGTTTTGCTTGGAAACAGACAAGTGGACTTGGCTGTCTTTAAGGTTTTGTGGTCTTCACATGCTGACCAGATTAAGGGAAGACAGGGCATTTGTTTTAGGAATTTTAGTGTGGGCTTCCCCCATCACAGTAAGTTTCACTTGGTGGAACTGTAGCACATTTTCCTGGTAGTGGAGGGTGTGAGTGGGGGGCCCACCTTCTCTACCAGGGAGTGGGGGGCAAGCTGGCAGAGAGGCAGTGCGGGGCTCTGTCTGGATCTCAGTAAGAAATGCCCAGCAGCAAATGGCTTAATAAAATAGCTGATAGCACAGAAAGAGGAATGTAGGTAGCAAGTAAATCTTGCGTCCCTTCAGGTAGTGGGAATCCTGCATTCATGCAGTGTTGGATAGACCCCAGATGGATTTTCCCATGGCATGCTGCACAGACCCTGTACGTGGAGAGAGATTCCTCCTTTTTGGTTGTTTGAGCTACTATAAAGTTTTCTTACAGGAAAACAACTCTATTTGTAAAGGATGTTTGCATGAGAACTTCGTGCAGCACTTTAGATAAGGGCAAGGCCACGGAGGTAACGTAACCGCCAGCAGCCAGCGGGAGCTGCCTGCGGGCTCCTCGGCTGCAGTGCGCCGGCTGCGTTTGTCCTGTGCCAAGGGACCCGTGCAGCATAACACAGGCCGGCAGGCCACGCAGAACATGCAGGGCAGCACAGTCCTGCACCTGCTCAGGTCAGCAGGGTTCAGGGTGTCTCTGACTCCTCCATGTACAACGGTTTCTTCATCAGGATCAATACATTCCACCCCTTGATCCACATACACGTTACCTTTCCCAAAGATATGGCAAATTACTGGTTACATTAGGAACATGCGGGCTTCCCTGGCCCAAAGTGTAAGGCACAGTAGAGCAGACGTGGCCTATTCAAGATCAGTGACTCCTGGGTTACAGTGTCTTCCGCAAGACTCCCATTGCAGCTTGTCAGGTCCCTGCCTCGTGTGCTGCCAGGGCAGAGGGTGTTGGGCCCAGCTAACATCACATCCACTCTTGCAGTAGGTAGACATGGGGAATGTGTATGCATTTGGTATGCTGCTTTGTTGTTCTGCTTCCCTTTTTCCCCCACCTTGATAGAGACTGGTTTTGTTGGTTGACACATAGCCTTTTGGCCAACCAGCTTTTCTTTTTGAAGCTGCCATGTTGCAGAGCTTGCCTAGATGAGTGAAGGGTGTCTCAAGTAGCACGTTAACCAAGGAAACTTCTCAAGCCGTGTGTCAGCTCCATGTTATACCCAAAAGAGGAGACCCCTGGTCTGAATACAGTGCCCCTCTATTCTTCTCTGGTGACACCTCACCTGGAGTACTGCCTCCAGCTCTGGGGCCCTCAGCACAAGAAGGACACAGAACTGTTGGAGTGGGTCCAGAGGAGGGCTACTAAAATGATCTGAGGGCTGGAGCCCCTCTCCTATGAGGACAGGCTGAGAGAACTGGGCTTCTTCAGCCTGGAGAAGAGAAGGCTACGGGGAGACCTGATTGCGGCCTTTCAGTACTTAAAGGGAGCCTATAGGAAAGATGGGGACAATCTTTTTAGTAGGGACAACTGTGACAGGACAAGGGGTAATGGTTTTAAACTGAAGCACGGTAGGTTTAGACTGGATATAAGGAAGAAATTCTTTACAATGAGGGTAGTGAAACACTGGCAGGGGGTGGCCAGAGAGGGATTGGAGGGGCCATCCCTGGGAATATTCAAGGCCAGGATGGACGGGGCTCTGAGCATCCTGATCTAGTTAGCGGTGTCCCTGCTCACTGCAGAGGGGTTGGACTAAATGACCTCTAGGGGTCCCTTCCAACTAAAAACATTCTATGATTCTGTGATTCTATAGCTAGGCTGCCTGTAACTGTACAGCACTTGCTCTGCTGAAGGGTAATGTAGAAGGTTTGAGACATATCCCTGGCAAAGACTAATTGCTATCACTGTTGGAGCATTTCAGTTTCCTCTTGATGGTAGTGAGTGGCAGAGAGCACCAAGACACTGAGGTATTAAACCCTAACTATGCCAAACTTCTCTGTAAAAAAAGAAATAAACCCCAAATTGCCTTTTCTTGCCTGTTATTTTACCTGATTCAGCTCTCGTGGCTTAATCAATATGAATTAAAATGCATGCATTTATGATCTTCATTTTTATGTGCCTATAAAGTGAATGCCAAATGACATTATTTCACCCTTTCCTTTTGGTTAGTTGCTCCAACAAAATCTAATAAAACCTCAAGGTAGTTATGTATAGAAGCATAATTCATGGTCTTATGGGCAAAGAAGTGGTATTTCTTAGTTTCCAATTTCCCTTCCATGCTCACCAAGGGGTTTTTTTGATTTTACTTGGGAGCTGACTGAAAATTACCATCTACAACTGAACTACCAGCATGGAGTTTGTCCAAGATTTACTATATTAAAATAATTATATGTTATATCTATAAAGTATATATATTGTATGTTTTTTGTAACTGAAATGAAATAACTGGTTGTACAACAATTGAAGGCTACTTAGGGCCACTAGTACATTTTGTGTTGAGCTTGCTACATTTCCAGACACATGATGTGTCCTACATTCCTGGATGAAGTACTGTTTTCCATCTGGTTTTGTTAAGGGTGTCTGTAAGATGCTGCTGCATTGACGAAGGGCTTGACTGGTCAAGTAGAGCTAGAGCTGGCTCTAGCTTCTTGCCAGTGAACTTCAGACCATTAATAAAGCAGATCTGGGGCAAAGTTCGAAGTGAGTACATTTCTCTGTAGATTTCAGTAAAAGTAATTAAATAGCTGAGTGGTATGTTAACATAATGGTTATTTTACACTGAGAAAATAGTGCTAAAAGTTTGGCTGAGGGTTCCTGGCTTATATGTTCAGATTGAATGACAAGACAGGGAAACTGGCCTTCAAATGCAGACACTTTGCATGCAGAGTAAAACAGCTTTGGATTTGTCAGTGTTGTTTTATTTGACACTTTGGCTCATGGATGCAAATGGCGAGATGGGAAGTGGTGAGAGGCAGCAGCTTGTTTACCTTGAGTTGCCCAGCCCTCTCCAGTTGTACAGTGTTTAGCGGCTGGGGGATGCACTTACCCAGCCTGTCCTGACACAACATCTTATCTGCACTTACTAGGTGCTGAGATGCTGTTCTGTACAACACAGTTCTGCATCACTTACCACATGCAGACCCTCACCTTTCTTCATGTGGTTAGGGTCTCCCACACCTGCCACTCCTTTAGTTAACAGCAGGCGAAAGATGCTTCTATTTTTCACAGGCTGATCTAAATACAAAAAAAAAAAAAAAAAAAAACCCAAACAGATAAAGTCCAAACCCTTTTGGAATGAATAGATGTAAATTGAAAAGAATATTCAGATATCGACTGTTAAATAGTTTCTGTTTGCTAGAAGACCAGACATGTATCTGTGACTGGGTTTACAGTAAGAAAAACATTTCAAAATCTCCTAGAATCTCACCCTGAGGTCCTGAGCACTGTTACCTGGATGGGTAACGTTCAGAGGGAACAGCTAAATCAGCTGAAAGCAGGCTCTACGTATGACCAGGGAGCAGCCAGAGCAGAGTCCCACAGCACCTGGACAAGAAGAGGGCTGGGGCAGCGGCCCCAAGTGATGAGGCATGTCTGGGACCTAGCTGGGACACCAGCCTGTGGGTCAGGGTCTGGACCAGCAAGGTACAAGGCTGGGCAAACACGAGGCTGCACTGTAGCTCAGGAAGGCCCTGGGCAAGGGCTGTGCTTAGGTGCCGCTCCTGAGCAGAGCGGTGGGGCTCCCACCGAGGCCCTTTCTCACACAGCTTGTTCCCAGCAGTCGGACCCTGTGGAGGGGGAAGGACCCGGCTCAGGCTGCATGGACGCCTGCTCCTGTATTCCTGTGGTTTGCTCTTAGATTTGAGTGTGCCCCGGGCATTGCTAAGTCATTTATCTGCCTGAGAAATCTCCTGGTGTTTATACATTTGCTGGTTTGTTAATCTGATTTTGGTTTCCAGCACATAAAAATGAAAATTGCAAGCAGATTTGGATTGTTGAAGCGTGACTGTATTTAAAATAAAAGGATCCCAGAAAGCTTTTAATATTCTGCAACCTCACCATATATATTTCCTTTCTGCATTTTGAGGCCCGTTATTCTTGAAAAACTCATTTGCTTCCAACTTTCCTGTCTGTAAAACTCTCATTGGCTTTGGAAGCCCACAGTGGCATCTGTGAAGAGTTTGGTCCAAAAGCAATGTACTTGTCATCTTGCAGGCCACATTTTAAATATCCTAATACTGAATTACTTTTTGAACCAAACTTGCACAGGTCTTTCTGCTACTGATTTCAGTAAATGTCTTTTAATTAGTTGCTCAGACTTGCTGATAATTATATAAAGCTGTCAAACTGATCTTCAGCTGTTGCAAATAAAAGTACTCCTGAAGTCTGGAAAACTTGTATCTTTCTCTGTAATCTTAGGTATGAATTTGTGTATCATGTCATGAGAACTATTATCTATGATCTGACATAAGAGAGCTGGGAATCTTCCTATGTATTATGTTCTATTTACATTGGGTCCCTCCCATAAGTGCGATCAAAATCGTAGAATCATAGAATGTTTGGGGTTGGAAGGGACCTTTAGAAGTCATCTAGTCCAACCCCCAAAAGCACAGTTACGGTTCATAACTAAGATGGGGAAGTAATATAAATAAGAATAAATATAGATAAATTTCAGAGCACTGTTCAGATACTAATTCCAATATTTTTATCCCATTTCACAGGTAGGAAACTCAAAGAAATGAGAGAAAAAGATTTGCCCATAGCTTCACAGTGAAACTACAGCAAGATAAAGAGAAGGTCGGAGATTTGTGTTATTTCCACATGTTTGATCCCGCCTGTGTGCAGAAGGTTATACTAGGTGATCTCTCGAGGCTCGCTCTATCCCTTCATTTCTATCATTCCGTGATTAGTAGCATTTTCCTTTGGGGGTATTTGGGTGTGGGGAGTGTGCAGAAATATATGTATTTTTCACCAGACTTAATGTGTATACTCAACATAATTTTCTCTGAAATTGACATTCAAAGTCAAAAAATTGGCTTTGTTCCAATGAGTAATTTTGCACTTATGGTGTGGCTAAGATGGGGCAGGTAGACTTGCAACTATACTAAGAGTTCTTAGTACATGTTCAGAAAATGAGAGCACTGACTGGGTGATTCCCACTGACAATAGGAATTCTTAAGGTTGAATGGATATTCTTCATATTTTTCCAAAATACAGAAATAATGTCCAACTCTGCTTACTATTATTTAGACTATATACCATTAGCGTGATTTTAATTGATAGGTATGAACACCCTGTGCACGTATTAATGTGTCAGAAACTGATATCCATTGCATCACACTGCCAGGCTCAAAGGTGTGTGATCTGCAGCACAACACCTAGCTGGAGACCAGTCACTAGTGGTGTACACCAGCGGCTGACACCAGGGTCAGTACTGCCTCATGTCTTCAAGAGTGATTCAGATAACCTCAGTTACAGTTTCAAAGAGGATTTCTTGCATCAGATTTTTAGAAGCAACATCTAATATCTTTCTAGAAAGCAAGAATTCTACTTTAAAGTAAGAACAGGTGTATCATACGCATACTTACTCAAACATAAAGGTAGAATCTCATTGGTGTTTTCATAACATGGGATGATCAAAGTAGCAAGATAACGTGTCTTCCAGATACTCATTTGTTGTCTGTGGTGATTAATAATTATGAAAAGTCTTCATTTGAACATCAGAATCCAAATGGGAAATTCAAACTCGATAAGGGACTTTCAAAAACTTATTACAGCTTTAACTGTAAAGTGTTTTTAATATATTTCTGCAAATCCTTGAGGCCACCTCACTGTCCACTTTTGTATTCCCATAAGCTGATAAAATCCCTTAAAGCTGTTATTTTGAAATGGTATTTGATATTATGGCAACAACTTAATCAGTAATGATCTAGATTCTGCATTCAAGATAAAAGATTGCTAGCTGCCAGCAAAGCAAGCCATGAGACTGGGATATGAGTGACTTCAAAACAGCAAACTGCATTCTACTTTCATTTACACAATGCGGCACAGCAAAACCTGTGGAGGATTCAAGGAATGCAATTAAGGATGTGATTTAGATTGTTTTATGCCTCAGCTCCACTTTCAAAACATAAAAATGCCTATTTAAAAAAAAAATGTTTTTCCACTTTAGCACATTTCAGTCTACAAGAGATTAACATTACTGTCTTTATGACCCACTTTCCTAAATGCCTGGTTGTTGAAGACCAGTCTCCTGACGCCGACCAATATGATCTCCAGAAGCCGTTTATTATAGCTTTGCATACAGCTTTTATACTCTTCCAAGTCCCGTACACACGGTCACGTAGACTTTTCTAATTCGTACATGCTACTGTCTATCCAGCAAGCATATAAGCCTCTAACTCACTCATTGGTTATTTCATTGTCATCATCTTACCCTACTTGCGGTTACTGCTTCTCTACTAATTGTCCCAGTGCATCCCTCCCCACAAGCCAAATTGAGGTGTTCATCATGTATGGTCTAATTTGTGCTACCCAGTTTTTCTCTCCATCCAACCATATGCTAATTCATGCTCTACTGGTTCTTGTCATTTGTACTCCCCCCACCCCCATCATTGGCACACTCAGATTTTCCACAGGCCATTCTGGGGGCCAGACGAACGAGGGAACAATAGTTACATCAGCCCCTGTGTCCAGTAGGGCATTATTCGCCGTAACCTGTCGTCCTCCTGGTCCTTGCATAATGACAGTAAGTGTTGGTTTCCGATTCGTTAGCAGGATGGTTATCATTACGTTGGGGGTCCCAGTTGATCCAAAACCTCCATCTCCTCTCGGCGCTTGCCCTGTATTGGGGACACAAGCTCGAAACGGAATTAGTTGTGCAATTCGAGATTTTTCTGGGATATGGACAGGTGGATGATTTGTTTGAACCATAATGCCGATATTGCCTGCATAATCTGCATCAATTACTCCAGGTAATACCAATAATCCTTGACGAGAGGTGGATAATCGCCCCAATAGTAACGCACTCAGACCAAAACCTAAAGGTCCATTAGCTGTAGATGGAATCACCTGGACCTTATCATCAGTCAGAGTCACTGCAACGGCGGTGACCAGGTCCACTCCGGCGCTCCCTGGGGTGGCAGAGGGAAGCATTGCCAAGCAGCCTTCTGTTCCGGAGGCATTTGGTTCATCGCGAGTTCCTCCCTCGTGCTGCGAAAGGTGTTTCCCGACAAGGGTGTCCCATCTTTTTTAAAATTGGATCTACATTCTGAAGCTTTATGTCCATGTTTATCACAACGACGGCAGGCCCCGGTGAGTCCGATTTCGGCCGCTTTCGCAGGGGTTTCTGTCAGTTTTCTCCTAACACAGCGACAATGTTTTTTCAAATGCCCTGTTTTTCCACAGTTGTAACATATTGGCCTTTTGTCACTATTTCCTTGTTGGAGTAATGGCTTCAAAGCTATAGCCAGGGCATCGGCATGTAATGCAGCCTTTTGCTCTTCTGACCCTATGCGACTACATGCTTCAATCATGTCCACTAACGTGGCAGTTCTTGGTAAAGTGTCTAGGACTCTTCTACATTCTGAGTTTGCATTTTGTACTGCTAATTGAATTCCTATGGCTGACTTAACATCTGCAGCCATACCAGGGACCCGATCTAATGCTTGTCGTAGACGATCTAGAAAGGTCATGAAGGGTTCTCCTGGGTTTTGTCTGATATTGGTATATGGGGGTGTCGGCTTTCCCATTTGCGGAACTTGCTTAAAAGCAGCTAGGGCTAAAGCCTGGGACTGTTGGAGTATTGCTTCATGCATGCGGGCTTGTGTGTGAGGATCTGCAAATTGGCCTTTGCCTAACAACATGTCGGGGGTGGCGGCTCGTAAATGTTCGTTCCCAGCGTCAATATTTTTAACAACCGCTAGTTCCACTTTCTGTTCCCAGTCAGATAGCCATAACAACCGCTGTGTCGGTGTAAGAAAACATTCTGCTAGTTTTCGAGAGTCGAAAGGGCACATGACCTCGCTAGTGAAAATTTGCTCTACCAAAGTCTGCACATAGGGATTGTCTAATCCAAACTGCATAATTGCCTTTTGCCCTTCCCTCATTAATTTCCAATCAATTGGTCGCCATTCCCGTCTATTCGGATTTCCTCCTATCAACTGAACAGGGAAGGCAGTAGTATTAGGCATAAAGTCCCCTTCAATGATTGCATTTTGAATTACTCCGTGTCACCGTTGAATCGGATCGGGGGGGGGATTAGGGAAAGCGTTGGAATTATGTGAGTCAGGCACTGAGGTCAGAGCTTGACGCGCCTGGTTCTCATCACATCTCCTCCTCCAATATTCTAATTCTTCTTGCTCCTCTTCAGTTATCCTCCCTAGCTTTCCTTCTTGCTCAGGTGCAATTAGTGGTCGAATTCCTGCATACTGACCTCTATCAAGGGCTTCATGGACTTTTGCCATTTGCTCTGTTAATTCTTTCAACCCTGGTAAAATCTCATCATCCCGCACAGGCAGGTGAGCCAATCGATCTATTAGCTTTTGCGCTTCAGCATTATGCCTAGACAACTCAGTTCGTAAGCTGCGTCAGACAGACCCTCTCCGGATCGAGTTGGAGACAAGTTGGCTAACTTCTGAATGATTTTTTGCGTTTCTTGATTTTGCTTACACAATTCT